TTCATTCTTTATGAAATGATCTTGCATTTGGTATCTCTGGTCATCCATCATCAATCATCCATCACCATCATCCTCCTATCTATTTTATTCTTGATAAATATTTTATTTTTCATTTGAGACTCTTGTATCTGCTACATATGTTCTCATAAAAGTCTGATTGTAATGACTAATTATTCAATGTTGAGGAATTTCAACAAATTAACAGCAAAAATACCATCAAATGAGCATTTTTCAAGGGGGACAGAGTCTCACTATGTCACCCTCAGTAGAGTGCTATGGTATCACAGCTCACAGCAACCTCAAAATCTCTTGGGCTTAAGTGATTCTCTTGCCTCAATCTCTCAAGTAGCTGGAACTACAGGTGCCTGCTACAATGCCTGGCTATTTTTTGGTTGCAGTTGTTATTGTTATTTAGCAGGCCCAGGCTGTGCACGAACCTCGGTGTAAGTGGCTGGCACTCTACTCACTGAGCTAAGGGCACTGAGCCCCAAAATGAGCATTTCTAAGTATGAAGCAATACATTTATTCTCTGTGCAGTAAAAGAAAGTCGAAAAGATATTTAGAAGTACCTCCACTTACTATTTTTCTGGAAGTGCTAGTCAATATAATTAGGTAACAAAACTAATTTAATTATAGAAATACTGCAGTAGTATTTCTACTTTCAGACAAAAGTCACCACTATTGCTAAGAATAAGATGCCCTAAGTGAAACAATAAAACAACAACAACAACAACAAAATAAATAAATAACATACAAACTAAGAAAAACCTCAAATAAGCTATCCCGGTCAGAAATTTCACTCCCTATCCTAAATAGAAAAATGACATTTGATCATATAAAGTGGGAAAAGTTGTCAAAGACTAACCACAAGGAATGAATAAAAAGCTAAAATGGTTCAAATATAAGACTGCCTTCAAAATTAATCTTTAAAAATATCAATAGGCTTAAATATACCATAGCATAATTTATGACATAGAATCTGGACATTCAGATAAATAACTTTTTTATTATTAAGGGGCTGAGTAATTGGTGTAATGTCATTTGAGCTCTGCTCTTCCTCTTGCAGCCTACAAACATCAATAATAACTTTTAGGAAAAGCTACATGATATGTACCTAGTCAATAAGAAAAGCAATTTCAATATTTTCGTATTGCCGTAGGACAGTTAATGGAACTAATAGGGAGAATAAGGGATTTATGTTCAACAGAGGTAATATTACGTTAAATCAAATGACCTCTTTCATGTGAACAACTGACTAAAAGTGTCCTAGAACACTGTAAAACCCTGCAATGCAGTGGACCTGGGAGAGATCATTCTTCTAGTATATTCACTTTTATAGCTATCGTACATTCAATCAATAATGACCATCCAGAGAAACAAGCAACTACATTTTCTAATTAGTATCATATCTAAAGTGCAATATTGTCTACCTAGGTATAAGTCATTTTATAAAATTAATAGAGCTTTACAAGGAAAAAAATGCCTAGAGCTCAAGGTATATGTGAATACACACAAGATGGTTAGTTAATTTTTTTCAGTGTATTTGCAGAGAAAGTAAAATGATGCCCTCAACGACTAAAAATAAAAAATAATCAAATATATTACATGTCCTATACATGATAAGTACTTAGTACATATTTGTGAATGGAAGCTTGTACATTTAATGTCTTACTATAATAATCTCATTAAACCCTGATTAAATCCATACTAAAGGAGTAGGCATGTAGTGTACAACTCACAATTGTTTGTTGAATTTGAATCGGTATTTAGGTTAATGGTCTGTAACTTTATTTTACTCTCTTGTCTGGCAACCAGAAGATCGTTTTATTCCATGTCCATGACCCCTAAAGTTTTCTGGATGGGTGGAGATGAGAGAGAGAAAACATAAACATTTTCTTTGGGCAAGGCTTTCTCAATTTCCCTGTTTTGGGATAATAAAGCATGAGTTTTAATTAAGTTTGTAGGCTTACCATCTGTGAGCATCTGGAGTTTCATTCTGTCGCAATGTTTAAGCAAGTGCAACAATTCCAATTCTGAAAAGTACAGAATATGTAGAACCAGGAGCCGGGTAATGACTACATCTGACCTTCTTTCCTTAAGGTCACTTTCCATTCTACATCTGAGTTGATGAAAGGATTAGTATCACCCTTCAAAGCCATTTATACTCTATTATTACAAGCACAGAAAGCCTACTTACAAGTTCGAAAGCCTACTTATCTTTTCTCTATTCTAATAATGTGCTAAATTTGACAGCAGTAGCAAAACCTTTCTGTCCACCTTTAATCTAACACACTCTATAGAAGGAATGTGTACATCTCATGACTGTACCAATTGATAGATTTAAACACATAGGCTATACCTGCATAACTAGCACCCAGTAAAGAAGTAGAACATAACCAGTACCCCAGAAGCCCCTAATGGGGCTAATGCTATTAGTCATTCCCGCAGGAATAACCACCATGCTCACTTCTAAAACCATAGATTATTTACTGTGCTTTATAGAAACATATACTAATATACATTAGTTTTGTATATCTTGTTTTGGAACTAGCTCCTTCTGTACAATATTATGCATGTGAGAACTCATCCATGTTGTTGGGGATAGTTTCAGTATCTATTTTCATTGCTGTTGAGTTGTACCGGTTGCACTAGCTGGTCCTGGAAATCCGATTAACATAAAATAGAATGACAGGAAAAAAGCGTACAAATTTAAGTTTTACAAGACACAGGAGCCCTCATAAGGAATGGAAGACCCACAGACGTGGCAAATCCTAAATCCTTTTATATTAGGTTGAACAAAGAGAGGCAATTGTAGAAAAGTAACTAAATAATATATGGAGTTAAAGGAAGACAGCTGCTTTAACAAAGTCTGTTTGTACAGAATTCTCTTGGCTGTGATTTTCCATCAAAAAAAGTTTCTTCTCTCATGGTATAGAGGGTATCTTTCACATTGAAGATTTTATCTTCAGTTTTTAGAAAGAAAAAGAGAGCTTAGAATGTCCTTTTCTCATTTGTTCTTTATCGAGTACATTTAGATAAAAATAAACCTTATACCAAAGTGGCATATTTTCCAAAAGCATATTCTGCTACTCTTCAGAATATAACAAAATTTATTTATCCATCCTGTTACAATAGCACATGGAACAACAGGAGTGTTTCATCACATAGCAAAAAATGGGACAGAATTTTTATAATTTTCTGCCTACATATTTTCTATATATATTTGTTGGAGATGATGTTGAAAATCTATAACTCAAATAAAGAATTTTTGAGGAAAATAGCTTCCTGCCCCCCCCAAAAGAGTTCGAGGTATTGCTATTTCTTTAAAAAATAAATTTTATTGTATAGATTTAAGGCATACCACATAATGCTTGAGCTATGTAAAGATAGGATAAAAGTTACTATAGTGACACAAATTAACACACTCATCATTTTACATCGTTACTCATTTTATGTTTTTGTGGAAAGAGCAGTTAAAATCTACCAATTTAGCATAGAGACAAAATACCATGCATTTTGTTATCTATAAATAATACTGATCTGATGTTGTACTCTAGACTTGTTTATCTTACTTATTTGATACTTTAGACTTGTTTATCTTACATATTTGATACTTTGTATCCTCTAACTTGCATCTGTCCATTTCCTCATCACCATCCTCCTCCACTGCTGATGATAAATCAATTTTGTTCACTATCTCTGTATATTGGCTTTTTTTTTTTTTTTTTAGATTTCATAAGTGAGATCATGCAATATTTTTCTTTTTGTGTCTGGCTTATTTCATTTAGCATAATGTTCTCCTCCAGGCTCATTCATGTGTAGTTTCCAAAGGCAAGATCTTATTCATTTTGTTTTTTCAAATTAATGTGAGGGTAAACATTTTTAGGGTACATTGTTTTCACTTCTAAGGTAAAGTTCAAGTTGCAGTTGAGGCTTTTACCTAGGAGAGAGTGCTGAATACCTGCACACAGTGCACAGTAAGTGAGATTCCACCAATTGCCTCCCCTCCTCCCCCTCCCTTCCTTACGTTCCCCGCCCCCTAGCTAGACTACGTTTGTGTTTTATCATTCAAGTGGGTGTGTAGTCGTACATTGTTTTCATATAACTTTTTAGGACACTGGATTTTATTCCATTCTTGATAGACTTTACTAAGAAGAATGTGTTAACGTTCTGCTCTTTGTTTACCCAGTCATTGGTCAGTAGATGCTTAGGCTGTTTCCTTATCTAGGCTATTGTCAGTAATGAACATGGGAATGCAGATAACTCATGAAGTGGTAATTTCAATTCTTTTGTATATATACCCAAGTGGGATTTCTGGGTTATATGGTAGTTCTATTTTTAATTTCTTCAGAAACTTACATACCATCTCCGTAACAGCTATGCAAATCTACAGTCCCACTAACAGTGTACAACTGTTATTATCATTTGACTCTTTGATAGTCGCCATCCCAACAGGTGTGAGGTGACATCTCGAAGTGGTTTCAATTTTCAGCTTCCTCATAATTAATGTTGTTGAGTGCTTTTTAATATATCTGTTGGTGCCTTTTATGTTTTCTTTGGAGAAATGTCTATTCAGATCTTCTAAAACTCCCATTTTTTAACAGGGTTATTTGATTCTCTACTACTCAGCTGCTTGAGTTCTTTATAAATTTTGGACATTAACACCTTACCCATAATTTTCCCAGTCCAAGGGTTTCTGTTTCATTTCATCAATTGCTTCCTTGGCTGCACAGAAGCTTTTGAGTTTGCTGTAGTCACATGTATTTGTTATTCCTTTTGTGGGTTGTGTTTTTAGTGTGATATCCAAAAAATCTGTAGCTCAAAGGAGTAGGGCATTGACCCCATATACTAGAGGTGGTGGGTTCAAACCTGGCCCCACTCAAAAACTGCAAAACAAACAAACAAACAAATCATTGCCACTAGATTTTCTTTTAGGAGTTTTGGAGTTTAGAGTTTCTGCTTTTAGGCGTAAGTCTTTTATACATTTTTTTCTTTTTCCAAGTCAGACAGATAGTGTGTCACTATTATAATAATACTTGAAGGTGGCATATCTCACATTTGAGTATAAAGAACCAAGCTTCTTGCCCATGCACCACAAAAGGATCTTTTATCCATGTTGAGTTGATTTGGAGGTATGGTTTAAGATCAGGGCCCAATTTCATTCTTCTGCATCTGAACACCAGTTTCCCCAGCACCACTTATTGAAGAGAGTATCTTTTCCTCCATAGTGTCCTTTGGGTGCCCTTCTCAAAATTTACTGGCCCTGTATGTTTGGATTTATTTCTGGGCTGTCGTTACATGGGTTGTTATTTTTGTCTTCAATGCTAATAGCATCTACTGTTTTGACTACTATAATTTTACATATAATCTAAAATCAGGAGGTTTGTGAATTATCACTACTTCTCATTGCTGAACAAATGACCTGGACACTTTCTCAGGCAAAGGACTGAAAATAAAGACTTATCAGCATGATTTTTAGACCAGTGATGTCCCAGATGAAGCATTATTTCTCCTGAAATTATTGCTGCTCTACTTTTCATAACCTTATGAAATTTTTCTTTGTTAAATCATAGGTAAGGCGGTAGAATAATGAAGTTTTTCCTTGAAAATCCCCAGACTAATGTATTGCAAATCCAGAGTATAATACATAGGACTTGAAAATTTTTAAAGAAAGTAGAACCCTTGAAAAATAAACCCAAGAAAGAGAGACTCATCAGCTGTAGAAAAAAATAAACTTTCTCACTAACAAAAGAGATCATCCATAATTTATTTCAAACTGAATTCAATGTAACCTGAAAGCAAATGACAGTGAATTCTCTGTGCCCTTGCATGGAATCCCTTCCATTCTGATGGGAATAATTTAGTACAAAAATAAATAAATAAGACAAAACATAACCATGTTTTAAGTTTGAAAGCTCATACTGAGCATGAGAGAGGAGTGATAGTTTGTTTCCTCAGAATCTATCAATAAATAAAGCACTCTGAATGATGTGACATATTCCCTAAATAGATTTTACAGAAAATATGTAATGTATAACTTGAATTACTAATTGTTTTGACACCTGGTAGTTGTTTCTCTACATTCTGTACTTTCTTGTTTTATTATTTATATGTTTTCTTACAACAATTAATAATAAGTATGTTCTTTGTTTTCCATCAATTTTTTACTTTGATCATTTTTATTATGTTTATGATTAGCCTTTTCATTCACGTTACATCCTGACTGATAGTTTCTCTGATCACATGCCAAGAAGAAAGAACTGGTTTTGAGTTGTTTATAGGAGAAATTTCTATGATTTTCTTTTTCCTTTTTTTGAGACAGGATCTCACCTTGTCACTCAGGCTGGAGTGAAGTGGTATCCTCATAGCTCACTGTGACATCCAACTCCTGAGTGCAAGCAATCATCCTGCCTCAGTTTCCCAAGTGCTGGGAAACATGCCACCACACCAGGTTAATATTTTTTAATTTTATTTTTTTTTGTAGAAACATGGTTTTACTGTGTTGCCCAGGGTGGAGTGGAACTCCTGAGCTCAAGCAATCCTCTCACCTCAGCCTACCAGAGTGCTGGGATTACAGGCGTGAGCCACCATGCCCAGTTCCCAGGACTTAAATGCATAAGGGCACAGTAGAGAAAGAAACTTGCAGAGAGGAAATCAACTCACCAAAAACTTTTGTATATAATGGCAAATTGACAAATATTTAAAATCTAAATTATTGTTGAATGGGTTCAGTTATTCCGTTTGTTATTGTTATATATTTGTTGCTTCCTAAATTTTTCATTCATGGGCATAATATAAAGCTGTCTTTGTCACAACTCTGATTCATTTTATCACTTTTTATAAATTAAATATCTGAGACTTGGGGGAGCCCTGGTCTTTTATTCTTGTCTGGAAGTAGAATCAATATTGTTCCCTTGTAGGTGGGAGTATATTTGTTAGGACAAATGTGATGGCTGGTCTTATTCATCCAATTCTCTTCTGGAATCAGGAAACCCCCTGTACATAGTCTGTGTTGTCTTCACTTTGGGGATACATCTATGTTTTAGTTAACTCTAAAGAGTAAATTACAAGAATCACAAATAATGAGAAAAAAGACGAACTCAGAGAGAAAGGTTTCATAGAGCAAAATGGCTGGATTTCAGCCAGACAAATCCCTTATGGTCTTCAGTGTAAATGAGAATGACTGAAGTATGAAAACTGTTATCTAAGATTCATTACCCTCATTTGGTTATGTCATTGTTTTAGGTCAAGTTCTACAGAGAAACCACAATTTCCAAAATATCAGAGGCAAAGCTGTTGCCCTAAATCTCACTGAAATAGAAAACCCCATTATTAAATAGATGTTTTTATATAATGAATGCCATTTCATAAACCCTAAAACAATAAGAAATAGCAAATTTTTAGTAGAGCTTAGTAATCTTCAGATCATCAGACCAAAGTTAGAGTTTTAATCTTCATCCTGATGGTTATAGATGATGCTATATTTCTCTCTTTCTCTCTCTCCCCCTCTACAGTTGCAGCAAAAGATATTTTTTCATTACATTTTATGGCTGAGTAGTACTATTCTGTAGTGTATATACAGGTGGTCCCCAGGTTGCAAATAGGTTCTGTAGGTTTGTTCTGAGTTGAATTCATATGTAATTTAACACTTGTACATTTATTACTTGTAATAGTCTTTCTTGGTAAGTGGAAGTTATCCATCAGTTGGATGTCTGTAACTTTGGGACTTACTGTAATACCTTCCATTTCTAAGTGTGAGTTATATGTAAGTCAGATATTCGTAACTTAGGGACTACCTGTAAACTACATTAGATGATTTCTTTCATTAGTGTTTTATAATTTTCCTTTTAGAAATCTTTCATCTCCTTAGTTAAAACAGTCCTAGGCATTTTATTTTCTTTGTAGCTATTGTGAAAGGTAATGAGTTCTTGATTTGACTCTCAACTTGACAGTTATTAGTATATAGAACTGCTGCAGATTAATGTACATTGAATCTATAACCAGGGACATTGCTGAATTTATTCATCAATTCTAGTAGTCTTAGGTTTTTCTAGACACAGGCTCACATGTTCAGCAAACAGGGATAGCTGGACCTCCTTTTTCCTTATTTACATTAACTTTATTTCTTTTTCTTGCTTTATTGCTTTGGGTAGAACTTCTAGTACCTTGTTTAATAGAAGTAGTAACAATGGACACCCTTGCCTTGTTCCAGTTTTTAGAGGAAATGCTTTCAACTTTTTCCCATTAAGTATGATGTTGGCTATGGACTTATCATATATGGATTTTGTAAATTTGAAGTATGTTCCTTCTGTGCCTAATTTGTTCAAGGATTTTATCATCAAAAAGGTACTGGATTTTGTCAAATACTTTTTCTGACTCAATTGAGATGATCCTGTGTTTTATGCTTTTGCTTCAGTTTTTATGATGGATAGTGTTTATGGATTTGAGCATGTTGAACCATCCATGCCTCTCTGGGATAAAACTCACTTGATCATAGTGAATTATCCTTGTGATGTATTGTTGAATTCAGTTTGTTTGTTTCTTGTTGACCATTTTTGTATCAATGTTCATAAGCGTGTTAGTCTGTAGTTTTCTTTCTTTGTTATGTCTTTTCCCAGCTTTGGTATCAAGGTGATTCTGGCTTTGTGGAACAACTTAAGGAGGATTCCATCCTTCTTGATGTTATGGAATATTTTGTGTTATAGGAACATAACATATTGTTCTATGTATTCTTTGTAATTTGTAGAATTTGGTTGTAAATCTGCCTGCTTTGGGGCATTTTGTTGGTGGTGGAAGATTTTTTTATCACTGCCTTAGTTGTGCTCCTTGTTATTGGTCTGTTTAGAATTTTTATTTCTTCCTTACTTAGGTATGGGAGGTTGTATATTTGCAGGAATTATCTTGGAGAAATATCCTGGAGAAATGGTTCTTCTATATTTTCTGCTTTTGAATATATAGCTGTTCATAGTAATACTGATGATCTTTTGAATCCCTGTGATAGCAATTATACACATAGTGTGTCTCTTTCCATTTTTGAGTAAAGCTATTTGAGTTCTTTCTCTTATGCTACTGACTAATTTAGATGGTGATCTATCAACATTGTTTACCTTTTCAAAGGACCAATTTTTTGTTTGGTCGATGCTTTGGGATTTTTTGTTGTTGTTGTCATCATTGTTTGTTTGTTTAGTTTCCATTTAATTTAGTTCTGCTTTCAGTATGTTATTCTTTTCTTCTGTTGCCTTTGGTTTGCTCTTCTTTTCTATTCTCTTGAGATGTGAAATTAAGTTATATATTAGTTATCTTTCTGTCCATTTGATGTAGGGATATAAAAGTATGAATTTTCCTCTTAGGACTGCTTCTTAGGCATCCCATAGATTTTGAAGTCTTATGTTTCATTTTTAAAGAATCTCTTGATTTCTATCTTAATTTAATCATTGAGCCAAGGATTGCTCAGCAGCAGGTTATTTAATTTCCATGATTTGAGTGTTTCTCATATAATTTCTTTCTAGTTTTATTCCAGTGTGTCTGAGAAGATACATGGTATGATTTTGATCTTTTGAATTTCCTGAGACTTGTTTTGTGGACATATAATCAATTTGGAAGAATCATCCATGGGCTAATGAGAAGAATGTGTGTTCAGTAGTTTTGGGGTTGAATGTTCTGTAAAAAAGTCCAAATGTTCCAGAGACCCATTTAAGTCTGGTTTCTCTTTATTCACTTTCTGCCTCTTTATTCAGTTCTGTTAGTGAGGTATTGAAGTCTATAGCAATTAAGATGCTATTGTTTGTTTGCTTACACTGAGTAAAGTTTACTTTATGAATCTAGGAGCTCCGTGGGGAGGATTATCATATCTTCTTGTTGAATTGCACCCTTTACCATTATTTAATGACCATCTTTATTTTTTATTTGCCATTATTAATCTATTTTATCTAATGGGAGAATGATTGTACATGCTTCCTTTGGTTTCCTTTTGCATGGAATATTTTTTTCCGACAGTTTATCTTGAGTTTGTGTGAGTCTTTGTGGTTTTGATGTGTTTCTTGGAGACATCAAATGATTGGAGTGTGTTTCTTTATCCATTCAACTTGTCTAAGTCTTTTAAGT